ATCTTTGGAAACCCAAGTTAATAATGAAAGACTTACTTTATGTCCTGCCTTTACATGTAAAGTCCTGGGTTCCCTTACCAGTGAGAGCCTTGGTCTTCTCTCCTTAGTGAAGTGTTTCCCAAACAACATGGCTTCTGATTTTATAACTTCACTGTCTGGGCAGTAGTATTCAGAGAGGCCCAGATGGCAGGGCTCTCTCATTTGGTTCAAAAAGAGAAAAACTGGTTGACAGCTACATGGGCATCTATTCTTTGCTGATGGCCATTGAATAGTATAGCTCTATGTGATACAAAACCTAGGGGCCAGAGAGGAAACTTTGAAAAGAATTGGGGGCTTCTGATAACATAAGCAGTTTTTCTTTGCAAAGTCGTTGTAGCTCATTAAAGGATTTACAGGAATCAGTGAAAGAGAAAACTTAGAAGAAAATAATTGCTGTGCAATATTTTGGAGGGGAGGATTGGGGAAATGGAGAACAGTACAATTTTGAAGTTTCAAATCTATTGCTATAAATGGGAAATGGTACAACTTAGAAGCTTCTAATCTTTGGACACTGGACAAAACTGAACCTCAATCAGTATACTGTCGAAGCTCTGTCCTCCAAAAAAATTTGAAAGTAAGTAAAATTTTTGCAGAGGTGGTTTCAAGCCTTAAAGACCCTTCTAAGGCTGTCACAGGAATCTAACTGAAGGAAATCCTTTCTTGGTGCTTCTGAACCCAACTGGTATTTCCTCTGCCTAAGACACTTTCTCCTTCCCCATGTTGCTCAGTTAATGTCCTGTAGAGCTTGAGTTAAATACCAGTCCCACCCATGCAGTGTCATAGATACCTACCTAACTTTTTAAAAATAATGCATCTGTTATTTGTAATCAAGACTCATGAAGGTGGGGACTGTGTCTCTTGTTCACTACTTTATTCTCAGTAACCAGAGTAGCCCTCTCACCTAATAATTATATACTGAATAAATTTATGAATTCCAGTGTATAGTTTTTGTTGAGTACTGTAGTAGAAGATCTCAGGATTACAGTAGAAGTATATGTGCCCATCGAGTAGAAATTATAACAGTATCAGCCTGGGAGATAAATATAGTAGCCCTCTCTTTCATTTATCCCCTGCCACCACCTTTTTCAAGAATTTTTGTGAAATGCGAAATAATATGTTTAAGGTATAGAGTTTTAAAAATGTTTATATGCAAGGGACCGCAAGATTATATAGTAGTTGAACCTTCAAATTTTAAAGTGGAGGAAACGGAGGCTTGTTAGGTTGTACAAGTAAGTTGTTGATAGCAAGTGAGAATTTGTTCAGAGTCCTACTGACAAACCTCCCTGATGACAAAAAATGTGGTTTCTTAAACAGTCACTGTACAAACCTTAAAAACAGTTAAAAAAAAAAATTGTAGACATTCCTTTAAAAACATTTGAGAATTCGTGCAGTTCTGTTTGTAGGGATGAATGAAAGTATATGAATTTATTAAGAAAGGATAATAATATTCTTTTTAGTCAGTTTGTGCCACTGCCAATCCTCTTTCAGTCCAGGTGTCAAATAGAGTTAGGTGTTGATGTTGCGGGGGCTTTAGACTGTTGTGGCACCTCTGGTTGTAGGTGATTTAGTGTGGCCTGGGATTATATCACATATGTGCCCCATCTAACATGGTGGCTAGGTCGTTGGAGGATACAGTTGGTCTCTCTAGTTGTTTCTTATATACTATAGCCTTTTGTTTTTTTTTTTTCCTTTTTTTTGTTTGTGTTTGGAAATATGCCACTCATTCATTCATTCATTCATTCATACATGCATACATCAACAAGTTTTTCTTGCGGGCTTAGTATGTGGCAGGCACTTATAAGTACTGGGGATATAGCAGTGAACAAAAGTAGGCCAAATCCTTGTCCTTACAGAGCTATGGACAAGAGGGAAATGAAGCAGCTTGTGAAAGGGTAGGGCTGCTGGAGTTAGAAGAGTCAATTTGTGATCTTGGAAGTCCTTAGAGATCATAAAAATAAAGCAGAACTTACTGGTGAAGAATTGGAAAAGATGATGGAAACGACGTTGTAGTTAGTGAATTTGGAGATGGTCTTCTTCATTTTGGAAAATCACTGCTTTCTCTGTATTCCTACCCTCATAGTGGATACTGTTATTATTACTGCTGCTTACCTAACATTGTTGAGTGTATGTTATGTTATGGGCATTGCACCACGTCCTTGTTTATATAGAATCCTGTAAGGGAGTATTACTAGAATTCATTTTACTCATGAGAATAACAGGACTCGCGGAGGTTAAATAAAGTACTTATTCAGATAGTAAGTACAGAGCCTTGTTTTGGACCCAGAGTTTGCATATCTGTACCAGTCATGGCAAGCTAAATGTGTTTATTTTTATTATCACGTTGAAGGTTTTTATGCTCATGTTTTGCTTTTCTAGCTTGCCAAAATCATTATGATTCTGTCTTTCTTAAAGTTGAAGCATGTAGAACACCATATGTAATTAAGATCTAAGTCATACCAAGTAATCTAAAACAGAAAAAATTGTAGTAATTGTTAAAATAAATAGTACTTTAAAATTAGATACACCAAATGTGGTAGATGCGATAATCTAGTTGTACAGAATTCATTTTATGTTCATGAACTAATATTTTAATGAACATTTTATGTATGTATATAAAGTACCTAGAGTAGTGCTTGGCCCTTGTAGTTGATCCACAAATGATTTTGTTTCTACCTCACATGTAAAAATAGGTAATGCTTTTTTACTTATGGGTAAGATGTCCATAAAGATACTTTAAATACACAGTGTTGTATCTGATACAATAACCTCAGCAGTTATTTGCACAATATTCTCATGTGGACCACTTCATTTTTGATGTTACTTTCATTCATCTCCAGGATTTATTTGAGGAAAAGTACACTTTGGTAATTAAGGGCTGTGGTCTCAAACCTTAGCATGCATCAGAATTCTGGAGGGCTTATGAAAAGATAGTTTGCAGGCCACTATCCCTAGAGTTTCTGATTCAGCAAGTGTGGGGTGGTATCCGAGAAGCTGCATTTCTAACAAGCTCCCAGCTGATGCTACTGCCGGCTGGTTTGTGGACTAGACTTTTAGAACTGCTGTTCTAGGGAAGTGGTGTGACTTCTAATTATTGCTGTTCTCTTACAATTACACATACCCAGTGGAGTTAATGTACTGATATCATTGATATTTCTGAATTTATTGTATGGTCCTTGTAAAATCATTTAGAGAAATTTGATTTGTATGAGTGTCATTATGTTTACTGCTTAGGAAGTTTCCCAAAGGTTACTTTTGCGTGAGAGAATTTTGAAGTACAGATTTTAATTCGTTTCTATTCCTCTTTTTTTATTTAAGACACAAGCTACAAAGTTTTGATTTTTAGGGAAAGAGCATTATAACTTTGGAATATATCTCGCAAGGTGATTTTTTTTTTTTTTTTGTAATTGATTTCTGAGAATGTCAGAGTATCAGGATGATGTAGCAATTTAAAAATAGTAACAAAAATTGTTATCTCTAGGTTTTTTCAGAAAGCTTTCTAAAGCTAAAATTTGATAGGCTAGCACCAAGTAGAATTTGGTGCTCATCATTTGCATGTATAAAGTAGATTTCACTCAGAATTTCACTTACACCAACATGACAATTTTACTTTTCCTTTTTAAAGCATAGCTTATACCTTCAGGGATATGCTGGCATAGTGGGGTTATTCTCTCAAAGAAGAAAAGGCAATCAGAAAATCTTTGTCCATGAGATTAGACTGAAATGCTCAGTGATTTGGTGATTACTGAATGCCTCTATGTGGCGCGGGCACTATGGCAAAAAATCAGTGCCAAAGGAATTTATCCTTATCGTGTACAATGAGGGGTTTTAGTGGGTTGTAACTGAATATGATCTAATTGTGTGGTGAGGCTACTGACAAATCTAATGCAATCTTATGCTTCATTAATAGAATTAGTATTGTGTACAGATCCAGGTTCTCCTGTCTTATTTTGCTAGAGCATGTCTGGAGTGTCAGGTTTAGTTTGGAGCTAACAGATAGTCTGGAGTCATCCCAGAAGTGAGAAGCCCTGCCGTTGAAAGGTGTGGCCATATTTACATATGAGGATTGTTGGAAAATAGGGGTAACATACTGGGAGGAAAGATGTCCTCATTAGTTCCCTAACGTCTGCCTTCTCTGCTGCGATATAACAGCTGCAAGGACAGTGACCCATCCATCTTGTTTATCACTATGTCCTCGATGCCTAGCACAGTGCCTGGTGTGCATTCAGTAAACAGTTGAGTAAGTCTGGAGAAAGAGATGATGGTTACCTTCAAATATTTGTCATGTAGATGGCTTTTTCTTTGTTTTTTTGAGATGGAGTCTTGCTCTGTTGCCCAGGCTAGAGTGCAGTGGTGTGATCTCAGATCACTGCAACCTCCACCTCCCAGGTTCAAGCAATCCTCCTGCCTCAGCCTCCAAAGTTGCTGGGATTATAGGCATACACCACCATGCCCAGCTAATTTTTGTATTTTTAGTAGAGATGGGGTTTCACTATGTTGGCCAGGCAGGTCTTGAACTCCTGGCCTCAAGTGATCCACCCGCCTTGACCTCCCAAAGTGTTGGGATTACAGGCATAAGCTACTGCTCCTGGCCTAGATGGTTTGTTAATTACTTAAATTTCCAGAGGCCAAATAGAAGCACCTGGGATGGATTTTTTTTTTTTTTTTTTTTTTTGGTGAGCAGATTTTAATTTTACATAAGAAGACCTTTGTAAACTCAGTTATGTTTGCCAAATTAATAAGCTTCTTCATGTATTTGAATTTGGTTATTTTAAATGCTTGGGTGGAGGCTGCATGGGGATTTACTTCTTTACCTGCTTTTTTGATAGATTTTGGGCCAAGATGATTTCAGCTGTTGACCCTTTTGGCTATATGTTTCTATTTTTTAATTATTTCATTTGATAGAAAATAATGTCAACTAATAAAAATACTTTTTCTAACTTAGACAATTCTTGTCACTCCAGACTAAAGCAAGCCAGAGAGCTAGACCAAGAGAGGGCTGCTGCCAATGAGCAGTTAACCAGAGCCATCCTTCGGGAGAGGATAGCAAGTGAGGAGGAACGCGCTAAGGCAAAGCACCTGGTGAGTATTAAAAATGTAGGAGAAATTTTCTTGCCTGCAAGGAAATCTGTGATGTTTGGGAAAAGCTAAGTCTTATGTGCCAGCTTTTAGTGTTGATAATAGTATTCATGTTCTCTTTGTTCAGATTTTGATTTTTGCCTTTTACAAGTAGCATGCAGTTTAGGTTTAACCATCAAGGACATTAAAGGCAGGTAACTCTGGAAGTGTTGAAGTAAAGACCAACACACAAACATATGCACGTTTCATGCCCGAAGGATTGTGGTCTGTTTGCTTTTTTTCTCCTTTGCCTTTAGTTTTATTGCCTTTGAAACTTCGGGGGTCAGCAATCTAGGCTTCTTTCTCTCTTGCTGGCCACTACCAGATGTTAGTCTGGAAGACTCTGGCATAGGTGAGTAAGGTTTCATCAGTCACTCTCTGGGGTTTAGGGAAGAGGAAATGGGAAATGTAGAGCCAGAGCCTTGGGGAACAGTCTTTTCTAAGAGAATTTTTTTAAAGAAAAATATTTTTTAATCTTTTAAAAGATTACAGACCTGTTTTTATTATTGTTGTTGTCTTTGAAAGGATTATTAATAGAAGAAAGTTTAAAAGGCACCCATCAATCTGTCTGTCTTTCTGATATAACCATGATTTACAATGATGTGTGTTTTCCTCCAGATTATTTTTTTCCTGGGCTTTTTACATGTTGAAGAGTTTAGAGAGAATGCTATATATGGTGTTAAGCCACGTGAACATTTTCCTGTGTCATTGAACGTTTTTCTGAAATGTAGCTTTTAATGGCTGATACTATTCTGTCTTTTGTATTCAAGATAATGTACTAAGCAATTTCTTGTTGTTATTTAATAGATAAAAGTGGAGCTGCTCTGGTTAAAACCTGGAGTGTTAACTGCTTAGCTCCTACTTCAGCCTTCCTAGAAACCCAGATGTAACTCTTTGGAACCTTTCGTCTCCATTGGAGCACTGTTGGGAACTTACTGGGCAGGGAAAATGGGACCATGGAGTGGAGAACTTTGAATGCAAGAGTGAGGGGGATTTTCCTAGTCCCGTAGGCAATTGGGAAACACTAAAACTTTGTAAGACAAGGGCCAATTTCTAGCCTCTCCCATTCTTTACCTTGGTCATTTCTTTGAAAGGTTAAACTATGACTAGCTGCAAATAAAGAACATAAAAGGAAGTCCACACATAATGAATCAGTTTCTTCAGTGACATATCTGGGGTCCAGGCCGCATGGGCAAATAGTGAAGCCAGAATAGAGGTGGTAGACTAAGAAAGAAATGTCAGTGGGCTGACTGGCAGCTGCCCTGAGAACAGTACATGTATTCAGTGGAACTAAGGGATTAAGAGAGGTGGAAGCCAAGTCAGTCATTGTGAAAGGGGAATAATTTCAGAATTAAAGACAGTAAGTTTTGAGTAATTCAACTGAAAATTACATCTGTTGTACCTCTGAGCTGAAGGATCTTTTGAGGAATTTGAAAAAATGTCAGGTCAGTGGGTTGAAAGGTCATTTCCATGCAGAGTAGAGTCACCAAACTTTGAATAAGGATGTAGTGGAGGGGGTTAATAGCCCTCATGTTTGAGAAAGGTGCAGCAAAATTCTTAGTTTCCAGCGGGCGGAAGAATACATAGGTTGGCATTTTTCTTTGCCTCCCAGCTTTTACCCTTTTGAATCGTATCTTTGAAACACCCTTTCTCTACCTCTTTTTGCCTGAATTTGGACATACTTTCTTGTTCTCTTGCTTCATGGAGACAAGCAAGATTCAAAAACTCAAAAAACTCATCAAATGTATACACAGACTCGGCTTAGACATAAAACGAGTTTTCACAAAAAAATGCGAAAGTATCAAAAGATTTGTTACTCAACATAGCTAAAATATTAAGCAATATCTTTTGATTGGAAGAGCATATCTGCAGTCCGATCTCTTTTTTTGTCTGTCTTTATTTACTCTTTTGTGTAGCTGGTTAAGCATGAGAAGCTGACATTGTACATTCTGATGTGTAGATCTCTCTTTTATGGATTCTGGTTGTATGGTAAATGACAAATAATTGTACTCACAACTCCTGCATTTCAGCATCTGTTGTAATATTGGCCATACAGAGCCTCAGAACGCTTAGGGAATAAATGTATAATTTATGCCATGGGGTGACAGCTGATTCAAAGAGCCCCTTCCTGCCCAGACATTTGCTTGGTCTGCCGTGGCCACAGCAACATGGCTGCCTATGGCATTTAATTACTGGGTAATTCCTAATTTGTTTGTCAGATTCTCTCTTTATTGTTGTCATTTGTTATTATGGAAGACATACATATTTATGGGGTAAAGATTAGAAAATAAATACAAAGAGATATTAAAATCACTCAATGCATCACAATTCAGAAATAATTACTGTTAACATTTGGTTCATTGTTTTTATATTCCTTTTTCCTTCCCATGAAGTTGGCATAAAACATTTGATTTTATGTGTATAACTGTATTTCTCCGAACAGAGATAGTAGCATACACATTTTTTTATAACTCTTAGAATAATCTTTACATTAAAACATTTAGGCTGTGTGGTAAAAGTTTTTATACCAATAAATATGTTTTTGTGTGGTCGCATTTTAGTGGTTGTATTTCACTGAGTTTTCTACTAATTATTAAATTAATACAAAAATATAGAACATTTGGAAAATATAAAAATTACAAAGAAAATCAGTATTACTATAATTCTGTCATCTATCATTAATGTTTAGAGGTATAAAGTTCTTCCTGCCTTCCCCGTATGTATGTATTTTATTCATGCTTTAGGGTTTCAGATTGTGCCTCCCACCACCCTCCAAACCAGTATTGTGTGGTCTGGACAGCAATTGCAAGCCTGCTGTTGTATTTTAGTTCCTCAGTCCCCAGCTGGAGAGGTGGGCATCTTCAGAACCCATAATTGATGTGGGAGTCACCCCAAGAAGGTTAGCATTGCGCCCCTGTGTGTGGAGGGCCCGTATTGCTGCCATTCTTAATTCTAAGATGTGGGACTCTTTGAGTGATGGCCAGACATTGCTTCGTTCCTCTTTATTTAGAACTCAAATGTTGCAGCCTGCAGGAAAGTAAAGATTGGGTTTCACACATATGAAGTAATTAAAAAGTTGTCTTTCAGGAGAACGGGAGTGAAGGCAGGGGAGCTGATGTGATGTTGGGACTGTGAAATAAAACGATTCCCACCCCTTACCTCACACCCCCCGCATCTTTCTGGCTCACTAACAGCTGACATTTAGGTTTCTGTCTCCTTAGATGTGAGTCCAGGCTTTTTCTTCCCACAGTTGTTTTAGCAGCTAGCTTTATTGAAGCTCTTTGAAGGCCAAAGTCACGATGGCCCTGTTGTTGAAGTTTTAAAATAGGATCAGATCAAAACTTTCCCCTTTGGAAGAATTGCTTTAGCTGGGGAAGCTGTTAATCCCACGCTAGATTCTGGAAGAGTACCAGCCCCTTCCTCTACTCAGCACTGAGTGGTGCCAGCATTTTAATCAGTTGACTTTATCCAGAGGCTTTGGAAGAGGCAGTCTGCTGATAATGATTTTACCTGCATGAAAATGCTAAAAGCAGCTCACATTCAAAATATGCTTCTTAGGAGCAGAAAAGCATCTCTGTAAAGAATGAAGACTGATTAAAAGGACAGGACCAAGGAATTTGTAAAGTTAATGTAACATGATTATACATGTATTTTAAAGATCTTGTATATGTAATCTCGTATTTGCTGTCATTAGCTCTTTTTTGAAATTGAAGAATAGTAGGTTGGTTTTTCTGACTTTGCAATTATATATATTTTTTAAAATGCCATTTAAAATGTTGACTCTTTTTTATGTCTTGTTACAGCAATATTTACTTCAGTATTCTGGAGTTTATAAATGTACACGTGAGATAGTTTCATTACTCTCTGGACTGATGTTTTGTTGAGCGCTTACTGTATGAAAAGTACTATGTTAGGTACTAATGATCTATAAATGAAAGACAAAATCCTGTCCTTGAGGAATAAAATGTGGAAGAAAGATACATTTAAAATAATGTTTAAAAATGCGAAGTCTGTTATAGAGCCGTGCTCCTTATGGTCTTGGGAGAATTCTCACTTTTGTGGAAGCAAGGACTTTGTCTTTCTTTTAACTAACTGCTGTATCTGCATTTATTTATTCAACACATAATAGAGTGCCTAATATATGCCAGTGCTGAGCAAACAGGAAGCAGTCAATAAAGATTTGTTGATTGAATAAATGACTAATTGAATCTACCGAAGTCCTGGAAATAGGAGGAGAGGAAGTGGGGAAAAATAGAGAAAATTTTCTGGAGAAGGGACCCCTGAGCTGAATCTTGAAATATGAGTAGGATTTTGCTCCCAAGGTTGAGTAGTGGGATGAAACAGCCTTGGGTATTGCAGGCAAAAGCATGGAAGCATGGGGACAGTGGGATACTACTAGAAGTTGCTGAGTGAGAAGCCTTGTGGCAGTTAGAAGGTAGCTTATTTTTTAAGTGTGTGTGTGTGTGTGTGTGTGTGCGTGTGTGCGTGTGTGTGTGCGCACGCGTGCACATGTGCAGGGGGTTCATAACTTAGCCCTTGTCTGGCATGGCCCTGGGTCCTGTTTGTTGTTGGTACCTGATTGCCACAAAAAGTCTCCTTTGTCAGTCTTATGGTCTTTATTTTAACATTAATGCTGGTCAGTGGTTGTTTCTAAACTGCAAAAGAGAGGGTGTATAAAGAGACATGTCTGACCTCCTACCCCTTTATGGTGGAAAACCCAGCTTTTAAGTTTCTCTGAGGTCCCCTTGGCCAAGAGGGGGTCCATTTATTCAGTTGTGGGGCTTAAGGTTTGATTTTTAGCTTACACTCTAATGAAGTATGAAGGGAAGAGCACAGGAGGAAATGGCTGGAAGCCTAGAGACCAGTTAGAAAGCCCTGTAGTAATCCAGATGAGAACAGATGGCACCCGAATTAGGGTGTGGAAGCAGGGATGCAGAGAAAAGATGAGGAGTAGCAACTATCTG